AGAAAAGACAATGTGATAACCACATGGTTAAGGTGTTTAAAATTGTGCTTTGCATCAAGAGAAATGGACAAGACAGAGAATCCCCCCCCCCCCATTTTCTCAAAGCACCATACTAGGATTATAATTATAGTTGCTCAGAAGAAGATCTAGAACAAATAAAAGAAAATAAGTCTTTCACATAAAACATTTACTGTAGAATTCATTACAAGGCATGCTGGTGGCTATTAACTTGAATGGTATAAAGGAGGACTAAATGAACTCATTAGGGTTAGGTCTATGAAGGGCTATTAGGTTTTGTTGGGCATGTCTCCAACTACAGTACAATAACTTGGGAGAGGGACATGTCTCCATCTCCTACTTGCAAGAGGCATTTGAGTGGCCATTATAAGGAACCAAAATCCTTATTTAACATAGATCTTGTCCTAATTGAACAAGGACATTCTTAATATTCTTCTTAACCAATGAAATTAATAGCAGTGATCTCTTCCCAGCCATCGTCCAGGAGTTAAAACATGATCTTTTTGTTAAGGTTCAAGGAAATGAGAAATTTAATGAAAATAGAATTGTATTTTCTATAAGTTCTAATTTCTAATTTAAAAATTGTAATAAATAGGAAAATTAATAAAAGTGCTAATTAATGTATACTACTATGCAAGTCAATATTGTAGCACATCTTGTTGTATTTTATGATGGTCTGTAACTCCTTGCCTTAAAATCCATAATTACTTAAATATTTGCATTATTAATACTTTCTATGTGTGATTGTTTTTATTTGACAATGCATGCATTTTTATCTTGTGTTTTTTCATTTCTCTGTCATTATTTTAAAAGCAATAAAAATTAATTTAAAAAGACTTCACTCTATTTATATGCTAAAATGGGTAAATTGGATATCAGATGACACATCAGAACAGCTGAGAAGTAAGCAATGATTTGGAAAGGAGAGTTGATTACTGCAACAGTGACCTACTTAGCAAATACGTTGCTTCTGTTTCTGCACTATTAAAAAAATGTGCCACTACTCTCCAGAATGCCTGCCTTGCATAGTGTGTTTCTGTTACTACACAACACCCACCATCAAGACTTTCTTTCTCCCAGGTCTTCCAAGCACTATTGTGCTTCCCCTGCCACCAGATGTTCTGTAGTACTTATTAATTAGAGGACGTAATTTCCATATGGATGTTTTCCAGAGAAATCTTGCACACATGCCATAGAGACCTTGCAATAGATTTGATAATGGCCTGCTGTATATACACTGAGTACCACTTTGTGTAAACCAGCATCAAGTCACACATTATATTAATTGTGTAATTCTGAGCTAATTCTGCTGTTTATCCAACCTTAAAAATAAACACTGTTATATGGATTTGAGTGCTTCAATCTTTTTTTTCTTGGGCACTTGGTTTTGAATGGATGCAACTGAAAGATTTTTTTAACTCTCTCCAAACTGACTTGAAGCAGCTTGAAGAGATGATGGATTAAACCACTCGACACAATATATGGTGTTTCTGATCTGAATGTGGGACTCTCCACATTGAAATCCTGCAGATTAAAGAATTTTGTGGCAAATCACTAGGTGAAACATCAAGGAAAGATCTAGTGCTCTTAATGAGTGACTGGAATGCAAAAATTGTAGATCTGGAGGCACAGTATGTAGAATCAGAAAGATTCAGATTGGGTAAATATAATAATGTGACAGATAGGCTAATAGGCTTTTGTAGAGAGATTTCTTGTGTACTGCCAGCATTTGTTCAAGCAATATAAACAGACTCTAGATATAGACATCACCATATGGACAATACTGAAATTAAATAGACTAAATAATGAGAAACAGAAGCTAGTGAAATGTAATCTAGTCAGACAGGACAGGCTAGGTACAGATTGTGGAACAAACCATAAATTATTGGTGTCAGATATACAGATTAAATTTAGAACATTAAGTGACTACGTGTGCCAGCAAGATTTCACTTGAAGGTCAGTCAGAATATAAGATCAGTGTAAGGAGCAGATTCAGTATAATAACTCAAGCAATAGCAAACTAGGAATTATAAGAAGAGATAAGAGAGATCATGAAAGTTGAAGTGGAAAATGTATTCTCGGAGTTTCAAACAAGAAACAATCCAAGTGTTTTCAGAAGAAGGTATCATCAGAGCCAGGAGAAGAGAGAGAATAAAAACCTATGGCAACAAAACCATGCAGTGACTGAACAGACTGTCAGTATGAAGTGTGAAAGGACAAGAAAAGATGTAGCAGTCAAAAATATCAAGAGATAAAGGAAATGAACAAGAAAATGAACATTACTAAAAATATTCATGCATTCAAAAATCAAAAGAATTGCAACAAAATTTAGGCTTAAGATGAACACCTAAAAATATTACGGAAGAGATTTGATGTGCTTAAAGGAAGATTAAAAAATCATGCTGACAACTTTTACAAATAGAATTATAAAGTGGAGCATTTGCAGAGCAAAAATGCATTTTAGAATTAGTTCTTGGGGAAAATGCGGAATAGAGGCAGTAGACCAGCAGTCAGATAGGACATTACCAGCCACAAAGCTCCCTGAACTATGTAAAACTTGGACTAGAAGAGGCAGTTAAAATACTAATAGTTTATTAGTGGGTGGCTGGGCTATTGTTTTTTTTTTTTATTTTTGTTTATACTATGTTTTTATTGAGGTGCTGTGAGCGAGTAGGCGGCTATATACATTTTATAAATACATAAATAAACAGCAGCATGCCAACAAATATGGAACAAGGGGGATTGAGATAAATTGGTGTATATATCTGTACTGAAGAAGGAATCGAGAGAAGTTATAAATTACACAATGTTTCTTCACCTAAACTAAGATCATGCTTGCAGAGACAAATCCTGCTATGAAAGAAGATTTTTGACAAGGCAGAGACACATGAGGTCAAATAACCAACAGAGGATGAATATGAGGAAAGCAAAAACATTTAAAGAGGTTGATCTTTGCTTCCTTTAACTTTGTAGCTTGGGTCAGTACTCCAAGATTAATGGAATACATGATTATAGATCTGCAATAAACTACAAATGACAATAAAAATGAATTCGCAGTGATTCAGTATGGAAAGTAAACTGAGACAAAGATGCATATTATCCCCATGTCTCTTTTCTTCAGTGAATATAAGAGTGGCAGAGTGAAAGAAGTACTGGTGGCCCTACTTCGCTAAATGAAGGCCAAAAAAGATGCAAAAAACTCACTGAAATCACAGTTAATGGCAACCAAAATGTCATGGGACTGGGATGTCTGAGGACCATCTCTCCCCAGTTAAATCAGCCTGCTCTTCTCTGTTAGATCTGGTAGATAAGACATGCTGAAAGGTACCATCAACTAGGGACCTGCATCTGTTGAGTCCCAAGAGACATACCTTTGCTGCCGAAGTGCCTGCCTTATGGACTATGCTTCCCCCTGAAATTGGATTAGCTCCATCTAACTTTCTCTTCCACTGAATATAGCAGGGAATTGTCTGCATAATTCTGTCCTTGGAGGTATAGATGCATCCTGGCATTTGAATATCTTTTCCAAGGTCTATCAGTTCCACCAAGTGCTAGTCGACAGCATGTTTTCCGTGTCTATAATCGATCCTAAATGGCAAAAGCTATCCACCACTTTGGTATTTTCATTGTCAGTTCTAAGGCTGGTTGCTGTGCCTGCTGTTATTAGTTTGGTCTTCTTTATATTTGATATTAGTCCCATTTTACTTACATAATAAGCCAATAAATATAATTAGTACACCATGGTTTCATCTATGTGTTATACATTATAATTTAATGTAATATTTAGTCACAGCAAGCTATGGGATTGGCGTCACCCATCTCACCCAAGCATAACTGTAAGATTAGAAACTATAGTTTTTCATCAAATCCAGACAGCTTGGTTAATTTTAAATGTTTCTATAATGAACCAGTGTCAGATCTTGCTTTATAAGGCTTCTTGTTTTTACAAGAGTACCATGTTTCAAGGATGTTTAAGTAAAAGTGAACACTTGAATTTTTTGTGGCTGTTCTGGAGAAGGGAAGCTTGTTCTTTAATGATATATAACATTGTTTGTTGTATTCCAACATAACCAATATTGATTATAATGGCAAGCAATTTTATAGAAATAAACCTAGCTTTTCCCTTCAGACTTTTATAGGCTCTATAAAAACAGATATAGGAAGAGCAGACCAAGTAAACACTGAAGAATAAGTGCAAGAATTATAAAAAGTAGGATTTGTTGAGTAGCTAAATCCCTCAAGTGAAGAATAGGAGACCTGAAAAATCTAGCTTATGGATTAATAATAGTACTCACAGATCTGTGTGCTATTTTACATTATGCATAGGTATTTTCTGGAAGGAGCATATCTCACAAATTTGAGTCTAAGGGATTCTTTAGAAAGCCCATGCAACTTAAAATAATATCCATATACTGGTTATGATTAGCTGAAGTTCAGTCCATTATGTGGATTTATTTAGCAAGATGGTGATAGAGTAGAAATTTGATGCTAAAGTCTAATTTATTGGGGTGTATGGAATTGATCTTATTCAATTATTCATAACCATCTGAACAACTATTTGCTCAACAATCTTTATCAATAATTGATCCATTTCCAAAAGTTGACATACATGATAACTGTGTGTTAGAAATGGAAATACTTTGTCACTAAATCAACATTTGTATGAAAATTCTGCAGATTTATCTCCTTGAAACACACACGGCTTATACATGAAGGAAGGAATTGCTTAAGTGAAATGATTTCTTTATTTTGTGTGTTGTGACGAAAAAGAAGTTTTAGCCATTAAAGCAAAAGTATTTTTTATATAATTTTATAGAGGTTAAATCATATAAATTATTTTTTCTATAGATAAGAATGTATGTAATAAGGAAAAGGAACATCCTTCTTTTTAAATATTGTAGTGTGGAACACAGTAGTAATAGCCATGTAGCTCATACACATATTGATATTTTTTTTCTTATTCCTCTTTTTTTGTATCACAGATTTTTAAAAGTGTCTTGACTACAAAGCTGGAAGGTGGATTATTTTTCCAAAAACGCAAAGACCATGTGTGCATACCTGTAGAAATGGTTTGCGGCTTAGTCAAGCTGGAGTTGACTAAATGAAACTATGGGCTGTGCATCAGCCAAGCATGTTTCTGCTGTACAAAATGAAGAGGAAGCTCAGAAGGGGAAAAACTACCAGAATGGAGATGTATTTGGTGGTGAGTTTTATTTATTGTGGATCTATATTTTTCTTCACCCTTCTTACTTTCCTGCCTAAAATCTATTTGTTCATTGTTTCTCAACATTTAATTTCAGAGGATTTAATTTTGGAATGCAACTGGTAGTACTTATGAAAGAAGTCATCTCCCTGAAAATCTGTGCTGCTTTCTAGCTCCAGCTTCTTATTACAATGTTTATAAAAATGTGTTCAAACTATATGAATAGTCTCTGCGGATACCTGTTATTGCAACTCTTTTCTCTTTTGAGATATTTCTAGTTATTTGGGTTGGAGCTTTTACTGCAGCTTTTGTTCCCATAAGGCCCTTTTTATTCTACAGGAGTAGAATAATAATACAAAAATAAGAATATGCATAAGTTTTCATATATTTCTCCAGACAGTAGTTTTTTTCCTTTTAAAATGTATGTTATTTTGGCCCAAAATTGTGTGTTTGTGTGTGTGTGTGTGTGTGTATTGTTTGTGCACAGAATACACCATAAACATGAGTTGTTCCTTAGGATCTTATTGAATTGCAAATATATAGAATAGAATAGAATAGAATAGAATAGAATAGAATAGAATAGAAAAATAACTTTATTGTCACTTTGAATGTACACTAATCAGCATACATTACAATGAAATTTCATTGCATTCAACTCTCAAAGGGTCACCACCTCCGATATACACTACATAAATATGACAAAAATAAAAAAATACGGAATTATGCATATACCCACATATATTATATGACACAGAGAATAAGGTAAAATAATAAGATATATTTTCAATGAATTGTTGAAATTGATAATATTTCTCAAAGTTAAATGAAAAAGGGATAAACATTCCAAATAAGGATTAACGATTAATTCTATATTAATAAATGTACATATTTTCAAAGTCTCAGTATATATACTTGTTTAGGGTATTCCAGATAATGTGTGAAGTCTTCATAAACAGGATACCTGTCACCTGTTGAAGGGAAGATGATGATTGATACATTACTATATGAACTGATACATTACTATAGTAATTATTACTAAGAATAACTTCAAGTACATAGCATACGACGGATATTAAACATTGCCGTTCATTGAAATTGGTCACTAATAGTAGTATAAAAAGCCTGGGAAATATGAAGCAATGGCGATCCAGGAACATACGTATGTAATACTTTTTTAAAAAATCCTTTATTTAGAAATAAATAAAGGGACACTTGTGCTGATGTCCATGACATTCCTGCTGGCCGTAAAGTTATTAAGAGTTAGAGCTGCAATTCAGCTGCAAGTATATGACATAGCTCTCCAGATATGTGCAGAAATATTAGGTACTCAATAATGGAGAATATAACCAGGAAAAATTACTTTTTCAATATTCTCTGCCCAGTGTATTGTAGAGCTTTTTTTCTTAACCTGCTTTAATGTCTTGCTCTCTGTGGTATTGGAGGAAAGCAAAATGTATCCTGGAGAAACCTAAGACACTAGGTTACATATTCTTCCAATGCCCTTTCTACAACAAACTGAGTCTTAACCTTATAACCTGACTTTCTAACATAAGTTCAGCCTGTTTGAAAATAATCTCATTATTTTTTTTTGGACTGGGATCTTACTATCTCTAGGATAGATGCAAAATTTCTTTCAGCTGTCATTCCTTTATGCAGAAAATCGGTCTCCTATTTTAAACCTCATATATATAAACATAAACACTTTTTCTGCTGTTTTACTTTTTCTGCTGTGTCTCGTTTGTTACAAATGGTCACAAAAAGATGCACAGTCCCTGATGTGTTAGCATTTCAATACTTTAATCATAAAATAGTTTTTAAATTTAGTTTTAAATATTTAGATTTTTGGAATTCTATTTTTGTCTATAGTATTTAGAAGATTGATCTGTTGATCTAGAACATTTTTATCTTCTTACAAATACTATATAAATACTTGTTAGTCACTCTAATAAAGTACTATCACACTCCTGTTGTTTTGAGACCTAATAAACAATAGGAACAAATTTGTTAGTCACTGAATCAAAAGTAAACAAAGAAGCAACACTGTGTACAACAAGTATTCTAACTCTCCTTGTCTTATAAAAATGCCAGTGTTCCTGTGAGAAAGAAGATTTTTTTTTTTTGCAGTAGGATAGGAAAATGGGAAAAGCACAATTTGTTTTCTGCATGTTCTTCCCATCTCTACTTAAAATTGACTTAGTTTATCAGTTACCAATGTTTTCCTGTACGTATGACTGCAATGAGACTGAAATTTTGGTTCTAAGTCATGATGATCCTAAATTGAAGCACCTGTATTACCAGGCCCAATTTTATTATCATTTTATGGAGATTGCTAAGTGAATCATGTCATAAATGCAAACCCATTCTCTTAAATCATTTTTTTTGCTAGAAACCAGCAAACAATGACAGAATAATAATAATAATAATAATAATAATAATAATAATAATAATAATAATAATAATAATAATAATAATAATAATAATAATAATAATAATAATAATAATAAAAAGTTGGAAGGGACCTTGGAGGTCATTTAGTCCAACCCCCTGCTCAGGCAGGAAACCCTATACCATTTCAGACAAATGGCTATCCAGTCTCTTCTTTAAAACTTCCAGTGTTGGAGCATTCACCACTTCTGGAGGCAGATTGTTCCACTGGTTAATTATTCTAACTGTCAGGAAGTTTCTCCTTAGTTCTAGGTTGCTTCTCTCCTTGATTAGTTTCCATCCGTTGCTTCTTATCCTGCCTTCAGGCACCTTGGAGAATAGCTTGACTCCCTCTTCTTTGTAGCAGCCCCTGAGATATTGGAACACTGCTATCATGTCACCCCTCTTCCTTCTCTTCATTAAACTAGAAAAAAAACATTGCAAACTGGGATCATTTTGCTGCAGGATGCTGCAGCCAGTCATAAATGTGATCCCAGGGGGGGGATATGGCAGCAGATATTTTGCGATGGCCAGAAGTGCTTTATGGGGCATACAGCACCCTTTCTGCTGCTGTTGTAACTTGGAACAGTTATTAAATTACTGGTCATAAATTAAGGACTTCCTGTATAGATATCATTTTATAAACCAGGACTTAGAAAGTTCACACTTACAGGATTTTAATGACCAAAAATCTTATGAGATCATCAAATATTACAAAATGTTGATAATTTCTACTCACCTATTCAGTATTCTATATTTGGACAAAGGTGGAAAAAAAATAGAAGTATGTCAAATAAGTTCTGCTGAATCTGTCATCTATTGATTTAGGACAGCACTTTCCCTGAACTTTGATAATGAGATTATTTCCCCCGTTGTGATAGGGGCCATGAAGATTTGAGAGGAAAATATACTCCACTTTGTTTGTTGCTAGCTTTCATTCACATTGAACAATAATGCAATAAGTGGCTTTCTCCTCCAGGGCATTAGTATATTGCCAGATAAGCATCACTTAGTCTTATTCTCTCCATAAACCAGGAGCATCTTACCGAGTGTGTATATGTGACTCAATTCTTAATGTTTCAGTGTGTACACTTATTGACTGGTTCAGATTCACTGGCAGAGCAATTCTAGTAGTAAAATTGCAAGATCCAAAGTTCGAGGGTCTCTTATTCAAACCCGTGCTGGGTTAATGCTGGCAGGAAATGCTGGTGGATTTCTATGAAGATTCTCAGTCATTCAGGTCATGGTTGTCCCAAAGGCGCTTTTTCAAAAGACAACACGACTTTGTTTTTCCTTGAAGACATTTCGCTTCTTATCCTAGAAGCTTCTTCAATTCTGTCAGAACTGAAGAAGCTTCTTGGATGAGAAGCATCGGTTCTGTCAGAACTGAAGAAGCTTCTTGGATGAGAAGCGAAACGTCTTCAAGAAAAAACAAAAAATGCCCAGTTGCCTTTTGAAAAAGCATCTTTGGGACATAGAAGGGTGGAGTGATGCCTTATTCCAGTGATGGCGAACCTTTTAGAGACTGAGTGCCCAAAAACCGCCTCGCCCCTGCTCCGTCCCCGCCTCTCCTGCCGACAAGGCCACCCACCACCTCCACGGCCCGCCACAGCTGATCTCCCAGGTGGCCCAGCAGTGTCATGACAGCCACGCCCTCTGTCCACACCCTCTGCACGCGATAGGGCGCGCGGGTGGAGTCTTGTCCTCGCTGCCCAGCTGCCATGTCCTTGGCTGCACTGCTCCACGCAGGTTGCGCCCTGGGCGACTTCCTCCGGGGGGCTGCTGGTGAGGGGACCACGGGGGGGCTGGGATGATGGCGTGCATGCCCACAGAGAGGGCTCTGAGTGCTGCCTCTGGCACGAGTGCCATAGGTTCGCCACCACTGCCTTATTCTCTTTCTTTTAAAATGTATTGTCTTTGGTGGCATTTAAGTAATTTTTATCTATTAATGCAAATGGGAGAAAATAATCTCTTTCAGTCTGTAAGGCTAATACATAATTCTCCATCCTCTTGACTCCAAGACTCTGAAGCAACATATGCTTCCAGACCATTTCCATTTGATGATCTCTGTTGGAACTATCATGCTGGAAAAGTATGGGACAGAACTTTCCATTGCATCATAGAATGAACTTGAAAAGAAAGAGATCTGAAATATCCTATCACACTTAGAGTGCCTTCCAAGGACCAAAGAACAGAGTACTTGCTGTTAAAAATATAAGGGAAGTATTAGTTATATGTAAAGGTGGGTAGTTTTCTGTTTTTAAAACTCAATATTTTGGAAGGTGGAGCCTGCTTAAAGTTTTGTTTTTAAGCATAAGAAATGCTTGAAATCAGTTTGCAAGTTTCCACGAAATATAACTTAAAGAGTTTTAAAATCTACAAAGTAATCTAAATAACTCTATAAAGTTTCCTATGAAAAAAATAAATTAGAAAACATACTGTGATTACTTCTGGTGGTAATTGGGGTGGGGTGGTTTTATTTTTATGCAAGGAAATGGCTAAGGCTCATTTTCTCTCTAGTAGAATTTTAAAATACTAAGTATTTCATCTATTTAAAGCCATTTAATCTCAGGCAT